GCGACGTTAAATCAGGTGCTTGTTGGGAGGCAACCCATCTTTATTGCTTTATTTTATTTGTAGTTTTTTTTATAAATTTAATTTTGTATTGTATCATTTTTGTAGTGTCTTTTCTAATTTTCTAGGAGCACAGGAAGCAAAGCCATTGGAAGGAAGCAAATGGTTAGAACAAAGTGTGCGGTACCCGCATAAAGAATCAAGTTTGGGAGAAGTATGAGTATCCCATGAGGTGCAATGCCTCGGCTTTGGCCTACTGAGGAGTTTCTTTTACCCTCTTGTATTTATGGTGTACATTGGGGACAATGCACAATTTTAAGTGTGGGGTGAAGAGACTTTTTGGGTGATTTCCTATGCTCTTTTAGTTGTATTATTTTCTGTGTGTTGTGAAAATAATCAAAAAATAAAAAAATAAAAAAAATAATTAGGTAGAAATAATCCCTCTTGGTTTTTCTTATGGCCACGGTTCTTTTCCAAGGGATGACTCTTTGAACCGGATGGTAGTTTCTTTTGTAGGTAAAATTTTCAAATTTTTTTTTTTTGAATTTTCCCTACGATGGACTTCCTAGACAGTTTTCTTGAGGGTTTAAGTCTAAATAAAAATATAAAAAAAGATTTTTTTTTCCTTTTTTCAACTGATAATGGAATAGGAAGAACTTGAGTGTCTATGTTTTTTACATGGTTTATATCGCGGCTTAGAGGTGGAGTATTTGTGTTGAGTACTTTCTTCTTGATTATTGTGATTATATGCCTTGAGAATATGTGTGACTTCCTTTTGACGCTTGATCTCGTTTATTGATTCCTGTTGTTACTTCCTAGTGGTTGGATTATATGATGACTGTGCTAATTGCTTTAACTTGAGAGTCAGGTCTGAGCCGTCCTGAGTAAGTCATGTGCATTGTGTGAGGTGAGATTTTGGTTGTACTCTATGCCATCACTTGTTAGTCTAGAACTTGCCCCGTGTGTGAGTCGAAGCGAAATGATTAACTCTTGTGAGTTTAGGAAATTATATAGGCGTTTATTTGATTGACCCTTGAGCCTATTTGCCTACCATTGATAACATTATCCGTAGTCAGCCCTTTTAAGCCTGTAGACTTTTTTCTTTGGCACCCACATTACGAGCCAACCCCTATTTTGGTCTAAATCGTATCTTTTTCACCCTTTACCTCTGAAAGCACTTAAGTCGCTGAAAGAGTAAAGAAAGAGATTGGGTAGATTTTGAGTGAAACCATAGAAAGTCCGAAAGGTGCATTTATGGGTAAAAGACTTACTCGCCGGAAATACCAAATTAAGGAGAGTGTAAAAAAAATACAAATGAAAAAAAAATGATGAATGACGCCTCCCATATCTTTGTTTGGGCTAGTGAGTATCTATATTTTAATGTGATTTATGAAGAAGGGCTTAATTATGTATGGTTTCATGGCAAAATATTGAAGTGGTCATGACAATAATGTGCTTGAATGCGTGGTGTATTAAAGTGCTTAGGAGGATAGTATCATACCCGTCCCTTAGCGTACATTACAACCTATAAAGTCTTACTTGATCCTAGATTTTACTAGCTTAAATTAGTCGAGTCTTACACTACGGGCAAGCCTATGGTACGAACTTGGATAGCATATGAGTTTCTTTGCGAGAGTGAGCGAATTCTTTCAATAAGTGAGTCCTTAAATTATACTTGATTTCATATTTGAGTGTGCAGACTAATTACTCTCTTTGTTGTTGGCGAAAGCACATGCATTACGACGGATTGGTAAAAAAATCATATCTTTAGTTGGCACTAGAAGCGAATCATATAGAGGAAGGTAGTTGAGCCAATTTTTGAGGCTAGGATGTTAGAAGAGTCACACAAATATTTTAAATAGTCTTGGCATTGGTCTAAATATGAGGAAAGATGTCAATAGCCCTTATGTTGGGTTCTAAGCGTTGATATAAACCATTTCCATTGCTATGATGCTTGAGTATGTTTTGGAATTGTGTTACTTGCCGATGTGCTTAATTTTAAGTTGCTCGAGGACGAGCAAGAGTTTAAGTGTGGGGTAGTGATAAATGATAAAAATACATGTTATTAAGTAGGTTTGCATATTATTTCTTATGTGAGTTGCGGGAGATTACATGTTTATAAATACATAATATGCTCATTATATGTTTATTGTGTGTAGGAATGAATTTGGATGGAAGTTGGCAAGAATTGGATGATTTGATGCAAAAAGAGTAGAGATGCAAGACCTGGAAGCATACCACAATTGGTGCATTGCATGAAGGTTGGCGCGAAATAGCCTAGGAGAAGAACAAAAAACAGCGAAGTATGGAGGTTGGCACTAGACCTGGCACGTGAAAGAACAAAGAAAAAGAAGAAATAACTGGGAGCGTGCCAGAAGTCGCGCGTTGCACCAACTCTGGCACGCGACTTAGCATGTCCTTTTCGAATTAGGAGAGATCAAGGACGCCCCACATCAACCCTAATTTATATAAATACATCATAAAACGTCCTTTTGAAGGGGGAGACACTACTTTAGGGTAAGACAACACCCAATGAGACGAGAACACGTTAGGAGGAAGATTCAACCACGAGTTTTTCCCCTTCTTGATCCAATTTTTCATTGTTGGTTATGACTTTTAGTATTGTAGTTTTACATACTATTATGACTAGCTAATTTATTATCTAGAGGTTTGATGGAACCTCTTGGAGGATGAATTCTTGCTATGTTTTAATATAATTTTGCCTTTGCATATTCCTACTTGTTCAACTACGTGCTTATTTTAGTTAATTGAAGAGCTCTCAATTGTCTGTGCTTATTTATTATGTATTGCTTGAGAAAGAGTGCATATTAGGTTGTTGTTGAATAACGTCACTCCCAAGGTATATGAGAGATCAATATTGTGGGTTTAAAAGCGGGATTAGAGATAACGAAGCTTTGACGTGATCATAGTGAGCGGTGAAAAAGTGCGAGCTAGCGTAATTCGAGAGAATATGACTAGTACATTATTTTAGTTGCTCGAGAGAGAATTGCAATAATTCGAGTGCTCATAATCAATAGAGAATACTTAGGCGAAATTGTAGGAGACGTAGCTGGAAGGATTCCGACAATTGGAGAAATCATAACTATAGACCTCCTTAATCTTGTCTCCAACCCTTAGTATTTTTAGTTGCTGATTTACTATTTTAATTATTTAATTAGTTAGATAGAAGAATTTTAATATTTATAACTTAGGAATTGTTCGAGCTTGCCTTATTGGTGATATTGAACAGTTATAGCGAAACCTTAGTTCTCTGTGGGATTCGACTCCGGACTTTTAGATCGAATTATATTTGCAGCGACCGCTTATCCTTTTTAGGATTAGAGTTGGGCGTGATCACATTGAAGCAAGTGAAGTTACTTGAAACAACTAGATTATATGTAGTTGACAAGAAACTATATTAAAGCTGGTAAAAGGAAAAGGCTATAAATTAATGGTTCGAATATAAGAAGAAAGCTATAAACGAATTGCACTAAGATAACAAAAGGAGTATATTTTAAAATGTTAGTCAAATTTCATTTAGTTTAACTTTTGATAAACGAAATGTGTCATTTAAATTAAAATGGATGGAGTATTTTATACGTGCTCTCGCTTAAGAGGACTTGTGACGAAGAATTTAATCATTACACACTTTATGTATCCATCTTTTTGACACGATTCTAGAATATAGTTGGATAATCCCCTCAAAAGCAATAACTCATTCTTCTTAAAAATCAGGGATGGATACTAGATTTGGAGCCTATTTCTGATACAAAATTGGACTCTCTGTATTGCTAGACACTATGATTTATACTTCTGGATCCTTTGATATTAAGGCGTGTCCAATAGTGGTTAACTAATTCTACTGGTCAAGTGGTCAAAATACAAGTCAATTAGCAAAGTAATCCTTGAGCAGAGCCTACCTTACATCTGTCCAAGCTCATCCAAGTTGTAGCGTAAACAATATGTTGACATTATTTCAGGAGCTTCATTTTATGCTCATACCTTCCCTTCCTCTTCTTCTGTGGTAGTGTACATGTTAGAAAAGAAAAAGAAATATTGTCCGCCTGTATTTTGATATTTGCATTTTGATAAGATGTCAAGATATTGTTTTCTACATATAAATAACACAATTGAATTAAAAAGCATGTCAATCTTTTGCGTCAATATAGTTGATTTTTTTTTTTTTTTGTAAACAAACACTACTAGAAAAATAGAGACAAATTTTGTAGCTAAATAGAATAATCCATTACTAATCTCACTTAGCGGTGAAATAACGACAAATTATCAAAACAAATGTTAGCTAATTCTACTTTCTTTCTTCTTTTTTTGCGGTGAAAGGTAGCATCAAAGAAACCTCAAGGACTAAGGGGTCATTTGATTGAGAAATCATTTATCCCGAGATTAGTTATTTCATTCTTCCATAAGAATGAAAAATAATACAATCTCAAATTAATTATAACATTATTTATTCCAATCAAATATTGAATAAATTCATCTCAAATTTAATCCTGACATTAATTATTTATTATTTTCGTACCATACGAGCCTACGAGACTGAATACTAGTAATGGGCAAGGATTGTGAAAACAGTTGCCGCCAGTAACCCATAAACAAAGTGGATTAACAACAACGTGGCAAGTTGTGGATCGGTTGTAGCTGACACCAAGCTACCCACTACAGAAATATCGTATTGGCCGACAATTCGACACCCTACGATTCATGACGGTATAATAAATTCACTGTCCGCCGTCCACGTGTCCCTGTCGTCCACGTAACACAAATCATCCCATTTTCACGGACTGTACGGTCACATCACGGTCGAACCATGTCGACCCCCACTCACTCAACCATCGTCGTAACAACAAAGCAACACAAACAAAATGGACTCCACATTTTCCGAAGAGTCCGAATAGTAATTTTAACTGTGCACTAGGGACATTTATGTCTTTTCGTATTCTTTCCTGTTTTTAATCATAAAAACATTAAAATATAAGTTAACACTAGTTTTCTGGAAGATATGCAAAGGATATTTGTCAGATAAATCTCTCTGCTTTAAAAGAAGCTGCTATACTCAGAGTCGCAAGTTTTAAAGTTGGCAAATGTGAAATCTCGCCGGAAATTTTACCGGAAAAACGCCAACATAAGTTGTTACACTCATTTTTGACAGTATTTGTTTGAGAAATGCAAGATATACATCCGATCGGCGGCGGTGGAGGACGATTTTTTGGTGGTGGAGGAGACAGGAGGTTAAGGCCTAACCATCACCAAAACCAGCAAGTTTTAAAGTGTCCACGTTGTGATTCTCCAAACACGAAGTTCTGTTACTATAATAACTACAATCTTTCTCAGCCGAGACACTTCTGCAAAAGTTGCCGGAGATACTGGACTAAAGGCGGCGTCCTCCGTAACGTCCCCGTCGGTGGTGGCTGCCGGAAAAGCAAGCGTTCCAAACCAAAGCCCGCTCCTCCTTCCGACGCTGCTGCCGAAGCTGCCGACGACGCTTCGGTGGAACATAAGTCAAACTCTAATTCTAGCAGCGAAAGTTCCAGCCTTACTGCAACCACAACCGCTGCTGCAGCGGCGAATACCTCTGGTTCTGCCACTGCGGAGGTTGTGTCGGCAGCTTCTTCACACTCAGCTTCAACTTTTCTCAACTTTCACGAATCCAACTTCTTCCTACCTAATAGTACGAACGCAAGCTTTGATCATCAGCCATTAATGGATCATTCTGCCGAAGGCCAGATTTTCCAGGACATTGGGAACTTTACGAACCTGATGACGTCGTCGAACGACCCATCTGTAGTAGGGTTTAACATGATGGAGATTCCGGCGTACCGGTTGCCGGAAAACCAGAACTCAAATGAGCAGTGGAATCAACCGTCGAAGATGGTGGGAACAGATCAGCCGGTTAATGACTTGAAGATGGAACAAATGGATACGGGTTTCATGAATCAAACGGGTCGGGTCGAGTTTGGGTTACAGCAGAACAGGGTAAACAGCAGTGAGATCGCTCCACTGGATTGGCAAACTGGAGGTGGTGGTGGAGATGGAGAACATGGGCTGTATGATTTAACCGGAACCGTTGATCATTCTTACTGGAGTCAAACACAGTGGGGTGGAAACGATCACTCCCTTAATTTTCTGCCTTGATCTTTGTCTCCTTTTTCTAACCTTTGAAAATAGCAGACAAAAATAAACAAAGTGAAGTTGGAATATTGAGAAAAAGAAGGGAAAAAGAAGAAGTGGAGAACTATATATGTTTGGTATGTATATTCAATTCTCATATTTTTAAGTTTAGACCTGTTTTAGATTTGGCTGGAGTTAGGGTTTGAAATTTGTAATTTCATTATGCAAATGTAACTGACCTCTCCACGCTAATTACTTTTTCCTTTTGTTTAACTTCCCGGCGAGGGGTATATTTAGATATTTATGCAAGTGTATCTTAATTGTGAAAGTCAAGTTAATTGTGAACAGAGTATAGAGAACAACTTATTAAATGTTAATTGTGTACGTGTTGTGTACTGTTCATTTTTACTTATTGCATTAATGATCCATTTTCTTCCTTAACTGCTTCGTTCATCACTGATAGAACTTGCATTATCCATTATGGTTCAACTGCTTAATATTGAGAAATGCTTTTTTGAGCTGATTTTTTATTGGAAACGGTTTCTCTAGCTTCAATAGGGAAGTGTATAAGAATATACTGGCATATTATTGTTGTTGGTTCATTTTAAAGTGTGTGCACAATGTGTCGAGACTTGTTGAGAATTGTAAAAGATCATTCATAGTTTGGTATTAGAGCCGCTGGAAGCCCTGAATTAGAGTGTTACCGTCACTATTATAAAACTGAATTTTTACATGCTTGGCCAATGAAAGAATGTATGAAACCTACACGTGATGAGCGTGTTGAAGAGACAATTAAATAAATAAAGTGTATTATCTTTAATAGCATAAGCATTATATGAAATGATCGTACAATCCAACTGCTTAGTCTAATGCATAATCATTTTTAATGAATATCCTTGAATATGGTAGCTGTAGATGGAATGCGAATGTAGTTGAAGAAGGGCCACGTAGGCGTTGTTGTTGGATTTAGATAATAAGATAGGATATTTAGGGAAATGTACGGACAGTAGAGATTTGGGGCGGCCGGAGAGTAAATGAGCAATGGGGTTGCGGGAAGGCATGTGGTCGGCTGGTGAAGAGAGGGACCGCCATTGGGGAAAGGGTAGAAAGTCCCTAGCTCGATTATGACTCTAACGTGGCATGATATGTGCAAATGGGAGTACGTGTGATGATGTGATTGGACGTACAAGTGGGCCATCTAGGTCGGTTTGTCCTGTAGTTTGCAGTATTTCTCTCTCTAGAGCTGATAGCGTAGTTGCAACAGGGTAAACTGAATAGTACAAAGAGACTACCAGAGGAAGTAACCACATAGGAGTGTGGTTGGATAGTAATATGTACATAAATATCTCAGAAATTGGTTTAGTTCTCAAGTTACACATGAAGTTTGGTACAAACCCTTAATTATCTTAATAAGCTTTTGAGGGGAATTCGAATTAATTGAGTCATGGTTTTTGAATATTTTCGGCTTTACCTATTTTAATTAAAGCAAGTTAATGGTGTAGTATAAGGCCAGTGGCTGATTTTTTAGTGTTTTGATTATGGGGCGCTTGTTATGCGGATTAGAGGGATTATCCTAGTACAAGATTTTGGGATTAAATTTGTTTAGTATTTGTATTTGGGTATTACCTAAAACCAAGATAAAATTCATGCTAAAATTTTGGGATTATCTATCTTGGTTATAATCCTGATTATAATTGCAGAATTAAACTTGAAATAACCTGATTTAGAACCAAACTACCCTTACAGGTTCAATCAAATTTTGTATAGTACTAGTATAATTTAACGTAATATTTTCTTAAGAAAAACAAAGAGGGAGAGAGTGTAAATGGAGTAGCGGCGACTGGGTAGAGGGTTGATGGTGAAATGATGTAAGTGAGATGACATGTGATGTGACACACACATATATATATAGAGGGGACCGGCGAAGCTATTATAAGGAGGTGGTTACTACTTACTAGGGAGGGGTCCACCTAAACATTTAGGGGGGATATTATGTCACATGCATGTGCATAAGTGGTCTTCAGTCATACTCATGCATTTGTTGTGTCCCTCCCCTGCCTCTGTACTGTACTTCTCCATTAAGCCCCCACAAATCCTCCATTTTCTTCTTTTGCTTATTAGATATTTGGAAGTTGATAAGTTCTTTTAAGGGTCGTTTGGTTGAATACGGCTTGTGTCGGGATAAGTTATGTTGGGATTAATTATTCTGATTTTGGTTTTTATTCATTGTTTGGTATGTTGTATTAAAAATAACAATTACATAATTTCTAAGAAGAAGGTATATGTTATCCCGGCACTAATTACCCCACCCTCTACAAGGTCTAAGTTATTCCGGCACTAATTACCCTACTCTCTACAAGGTATAAGTTATCCCGATACTAATTTTAACCCCAGGATAATTTATACCAGGTTTGCTAACCAAACAAAGTATTAAGGTGGTATTAAATTTTTATATCAGCACTATACCTTCTTGTACCTCAACACATGGGTGGCTCTAAGGCTTTGGGGGAAGTGAGGCCATTGCTTCATGCCCCCAGAATTTGAAGGCCCCAAATCTATTTTAAATTATTATTATTATTACTATATACTCTATAATTTATATAAATAATTAGTATTGTTTGGCTCAAAAGTTATCGATATACTTTGTAAGCTAAAAAACAATCAAAAGTAGGAAAAGGGTAAATCGTAATCAAATATAATAATCCTAGAGATGCAAAGATGATAATATTGTTGTAGATCTAGTATTGCAAAGAGACAGTATGAACTCAATAAGATACGTTCGTTTGAAGTAGAGATAGAGAGAGAGAGAAAGCCAGAAAAATGAGAGAGTTGTATTAGATCAGATGCCCCCTTTTACAATGTGAAGGTCTCCTTTATATAATAGGAGACCTTCCTCGAAAGAATCAAAAAATTACAAAGATAGGTAACGTCTCCCTAGTGAAGACATTGAGTCCTAAACGATGTCGTTTTGCCCCCACGGCCGAGTCGTACCCGCTACGTTGGTAGGCGTACACTCATTGGGCGTACCCACTGGCGTAGAGATGCTGAGAGTCAAATTCGACCCTATACAGTTAGTCCCTCCGCTCGTTGGAGACGCATTCGGTGGGCGTCTTCGATGGGCGGAAACGTGAACCTCGGCTTAGGAGAATTTGACCTCGATCCGGGGCAGCAATACGAATGAAGTGAAATATATGACGTTGTTGAGCCACTGACGCGCGGCTTCCTTTTTGGAATGACGTCATCGCCTGTATGCATCATCATTATATTTGCCCCCGAGGCGGTTCAGAGGATGATGTGACATTTTGGTTTCCGGCGCACGTTTTGAATCATGACTCTTCGATTCCTGTGCAACTTATCCCTATAAGTATGAGAGAGGTTCGATTTGATTCCACTTTCAATCCTTCGGAAAGCATTTTCTGATATACCCCTTTGTCTTCTCTCTACCGTAATCGTTATTTTGTGAAGGACTCTCCCACTTCTGTTGAAACCATATTTCCTATCGTCAGTGCTTCGTTTCTTTAGTAGTATAATCATGACAAAACGCGGACAGAGTAGTAAAAAGGCCAAAGATAACGCCCTGTCTAGGGTTCCGCCACCTTCCGGTGGTGAAGGGGAAAAGGCGGAGAAGGCCCTTGTTCCTCTCAGCGTAGACAACGTCCTTCCGAAGGAGACGCACGTTCGCAGGGATTTTCCAACTAAAAGCCCTGACCTTCCCTGGGAGCACAGCGTTTTATTACAATCTCATTTAGATGATCTTCGAGAGGCGCACCATATTCCGGACCACATGGAAATGGTTCCGGCCGGGACAGACTATGCCAATGTGCACCGGCCTGGATATTGCACATTCTATGAGTACCCGTTCTTGATCGGTTACAATCTTCCAATCTACCCTCTGATGGAGGAGCTTTGCCGTTTTTATAATTTGTGCCCGGCCCAGCTCACTCCTTATTCCTTGAAGGTGTGCCGTATTATGACCACTTACGCGGCCAGGGCTGAATGCAGCGTCTCGGTCCACCACCTCTTACAGTTATTCAGCGCTGGTTACCTGAGGGGTACCATGCTGCAGTTAAAAGGTCGGGGCACAAGGGGCTTAGTTGTTAAAGCCGATGATAAGCCTAACCGCCGCTTTTGGCGTAAGTATTTCTACATCAGGACGGAGCACCTGGTGTCGAATCCCGAAGGGTTCCCGGAAAGATGGAATCCAGAACGTAAGTATTTCTATTCGTAGAATTCAGGGCCGCTTGCGCTTTTGACCATACGGCCATTGTGATTTCTTGGCTTTTCTCCCTTTTTTATTCGCAGCGAGGGCTTCTCCACCCCAGCTCATTGATGACATTAAATCGTGGGTGGAAAGAATAATACCTTATGCGGAGGAATGCCGTACCTGGGCTGCATTTCTTTAACAGTACGGCCCGTCAGGTAATTCTTTGGCTATGATTTGAGAATTCCCTACGTTCTCGTTTCCTGACTTATTCGTGTTGGCAGGTCGGAGCGCTCCTAAGAAGAAGAAAAAGAACGTCGTCACCTTACCTGGAGCGGGGACTGATTCTGAAGACGGGTATATACCCTATGGTTCGCCCAGTGAAGGCGCTGCGGGGGTTCCTCAACCGCTAACCGTGGCGGCGTCCATAAAGGGAGCGACTCCTTCAATGCCCTCCCCACGGGCCGTGGAGGAGACTTCTGAGAGCGAGGAGCCGCCAGAAAGGAAAAGACGTCGGTTGATAACCGACAAGGGGATAGCCTCATAAGACGAGGGGGCGAGCGAGCCCCATCGGGAGTCAAGGCCAGTTTTTATGGCGGATGCCATCCGTTCCGGGAGGTCGGCTCCCCAAGGGGGGGCGGTTCTCGACGCCAGCCCACCACGCATTCCGGAGAGCGGCTCGTCGACTGCCGTTGGAGAAGCAGGTGATGATGCCGAGAGGGTGGGCCCTAAGGCCACCCAGGCGGATGCAGATGCGTTAACGCGGGGTCCGGCCCGTGTGGAGATGACGGCAGGTAGATCTAACCGCCGAATTCTGATCCCGACGAGGGTATAACCTGTTGCAACACAGCGAGCAGGCCGCAACGGATATGACCCTGCTATGTGCGGCCGCTGAGCGTGAAACGTTACAAGGGGTTAGCGACGGGGAACTATCCCGGAGGGTTGC